CGAGGGTTTTGTTTTGTGCTCTGCCAACCCTRAAGCACATCCGCCCTCACCCCGGGTCTCCTCATTGGTGTCTCTCAGCGAGGGGCAGCTCTGCTGCAGGAAAAGGCCTTTGTGAGGTTTTGGACAGCTCACAGTTGGTGTTTTTGGTGCCAGGCAGGGCTGCTGGAGGGTGGTGAGCAGAAACCTCTGTTCCTTGGCCAGCACTCGCCCCGGAGCCCAGGTGGTTGTCTCTGGTGCTGGGTCTCACTGGAGCTCTGCAGTTCATTCACAAAATAACTTAATCCTTGTCCTGCTTTGGCTGAGGGTCTGTGGGGTTGTGTCTGCCCCCTGTGCCCTTCCAGGCGCTCTGTCCGTGCCAGGAGCAGCTCCCGTCCCCTCCTCGTGATGGATTTYCTTTGTGAGCATCCACCAAAACAAAATTCCAGGGGGGACATGGCCTGTGCACAGCCCGGCCCCACAGTGCTGTCCCCACCTTCCCCAGGGGTTCTGCTCTTTGCTGGCCACACTGGCCTGGTTGGTGGCCAGAGCTGAGCCCAGGGATGCCCCGTGCCAGCCCTCTGCTTTTCCATAGGGTGTGTGCCATTTTCCAGGGTGTGGGAGTGATGCTATGAACATGGGGATGTCCTGGCACTGCCACTGTGCCCCCAAAGAGCTGGATTTGGGGTCACACCAGGCTCCAGCCCCCAAAATTCCTTCCTGATGCTGAGGGTGGCGTGGGAGGAGGTCCCTGGATGCCACACCCGTGTCAGGACAAGATCCCACACCCGGGGTGACAGCTGCTGTGGGGCATTGGTGCCCTGTTCACCTCCAGGACTTCTCCTCCCCGTTAGCTCCAGACTGTGCTGCTGTAGCCTAAATAATAGGGGAAAAATCATGGGAAAGGTTTAGAAGAGGGGAAAAAATCATGGGAATGGTTTAGGAGAGGGGAAAAAATCATGGGGAAGGTTTAGAAGAGGGGAAAAAAATAATGGGGAATGTTTAGGAGAGGGAAAAAATTAATGGGAATGGTTTAGAAGAAGGAAAAATTCCAAGGTTCTGGTGCAGGCTCTGCCCWGCGCTGTGTTTGGGAACAGCCTCTCCTCCAGCCTGTCCTGCCTGGCCTTGGGTGGCTGCTGGGTGACCTTGGGGCTGGGACACATCCTTGGGGCTGGGACAGTCCCTCGGGGCAGTGACAGTCCCTCAGTGACAGTCCCTGGGGCAGTGACAGTCCCTGGAGCAGGGACACCTCCCTGGAGCAGTGACAGTCCCTCAGGACAGTGACAGCCCCTGGAGCAGTGACAATCCCCGGAGCAATGACAATCCCTCACTGTCCTTATCACAAGCTCCACACTGCTGTGATAAGGACAGACAGATCAGGGGAAGCCACGGTCCCGTGAGCTCCAGGGCAGATTAAAGACAGGGTCATCAGATTAATGGGATTAAACCGGGAGTCGAAAGGCCGGGYTTGAGCTCTGCACCCTGACGGGCCCTTTGCTACCTGGAGTAAGTGCGGAGTAAAGCCTGCACCTCCTGTGTGACCCCACTCAGCAAAGGGGGTTGGTGCTGTAGGGTGAGCCCCAGCTCCTCTGGGGGGACCAGCACCTCCCTCCCTGCTCAGGAGGGACACCCCAAACCCCCAATGGGATCAACATGGGGTTTATATGGGCGGGGGGCTGGGAAGGGGACAGCAAATGTTACATTTGGGGTTAAATCTGCCTGCATGAAACCCCAAGGGCTGGGATGTTGGGATGTYGGGATGTTGGGATGTTGGGATGTTGGGATGTTGGGATGTTGGGATGTTGGGATGATTCTCTCCAGCACCTCCTGGGCACCGGGAAGCCCTGCAAATTCCTGCAAATCCGCGGCTGTTCCTCCTCGGAGGGAGGGGACACACTGGTCCCTCCTGAGCCTGGAGGAGGGAGAAGCTCCCGGAGCTGTCTGGGAGCAGCCAGAACTCCGTGGTGATCCATTCTGTGTCCCCACACACGGAGGGGACAGCGGAGCAGCAGGAATTGTCYGTGCTGGAGCCGTGGAGAGCTGTCCATCTGTCCTGGGGCCGTGGGAAAGCTGTGGAGCTCCGCTGTGTTCCCAACCCCAGCTGTGCCGGCAGCTTCAGGCCGGGCTCCAGCAGCCCTGCTGAGCCACAGCTGCTCCCTGGGACAGCCACCCATCCTCAGGTGACAGCCAGACCTTGTGTGGCAGCTCCTGGGGTGTCCCTGGGACAGCCACCCATCCTCAGTGACAGCCAGACCTTGTGTGGCAGCTCCTGGGATGTCCCTGGGATGTCCCTCCGTGCTCAGGTGACACCCGGACCTTGTCCCGCAGCTCCTGGGATGTCCCTGGGATGTCCCTCCGTGCTCAGGTGACACCCGGACCTTGTCCCGCAGCTCCTGGGATGTCCCTGGGATGTCCCTCCGTGCTCAGGTGACACCCGGACCTTGTCCCGCAGCTCCTGGGATGTCCCTGGGATGTCCCTCCGTGCTCAGGTGACACCCGGACCTTGTCCCGCAGCTCCTGGGATGTCCCTCCGTGCTCAGGTGGCACCCAGACCTTGTCCCGCAGTTCCCGGCCCCGTGGCCTCTGCCCCCCAGCCCCATTCCCTGCGAGCTCTGGCTCTGTCAGAGCTCGTGAATAAAACCCAAAATTTACCGAAGCGATGTTTTGATGGCACCGCTGCCCTCGCAGGCTCCGTGCCCGCCGCACAATCCGCCGGGCGCTGTTCCTTCGATCGCTTTCCCGGGCGGGAGCGCTGCCGGTGCGGTCTGGGCAGCGCCGAGGAGTTCTGGAAAAGTGTAGAAAAGGTGTAGAAAAGGTGTAGAAAAGGTGTTTGGTGGCCGCGGGGCTCTGGAATCCCTGCCCGGAGCAGCGGGGCTCAGTCCCGGGAGCCAGCCCTTCCCGCGTTCCGGCGTTCTGGATTCTGGCTCCGGGCCAGGGAGGAGGAGGAGGCTGCACCTCTCTGGTGTAGGAGAAGCGCTTGTCACGCACAGCACGGAAAAAATGTTTGTTTTCCAAAGATTCTTTGGATTGGGGATCAAAGGCGGGAGCGGGGCTGCTCCGGGAGCCGCGCCTGCCCCGCTCCCCGGCAGATCCCATCCCCAATCTCCCAGCGGGATGTGTTCAGGCTGATTTTTCCCTCGGATCAGATGAATTCTCTCCCAGAATTGCGTGCCTGGCACAGAGCCCCTCCCGCAGCTGGGAATTGGTGCCCCGGGCGGGTGACACCGCCCGCAGGATCCTGGCGCGTATTTTTAGAGAGGACTCACGCTCGGAGAGGGCTGAAATGTGCTGTCCTCACCAGAAACGGTGCAGAAAATAGATGGGAGAATTGTTCATTGCTGGTGGCAGATGCTGTCTCAGCTGCTGGGGGAAGGTGTGAGGGGAGAGGGGCTGGAGCTCACGGGGGGTGGGAGCTGGACTTGGCACACACCGGGCAGAGAATATTCCAAATGATTTCTGAGGGGCTGAAAGAAAATCAGAGCAAACTGCCGTGGATTGGGTTGGGTTGGGTTGGGAGGGAACTCAGAACCCACCCAGTGCCACCCCAGGGACACCTTCGCTGTCCCAGGGTGCTCCAGCCTGGCCTTGGGCACTGCCAGGGATCCAGGGGCAGCCACAGCTGTGCCAGAGCCTGCTCACCCTCCCAGGGAACAATTCCTGCTCAAAATCCCACCCAAATCTCCCCTTTTGCACTTTGAAGCCATTCCCTGTCCATCCAGSCCTTGTCCCCAGTCCCTCCCCAGTTTCCAGAAGCAGCTGAGGGATGARGGAGAGCCAGGTGGAAACCCAGGACTGTGCTCTCACCTTGCCATTTCCACAATTACCCTCTCAAGGATTTGAACTTGGGAATAATTTTCTCATCCGAGCTTATCTAAAGTGGAGGCTGTGCAATCTGGGGGTGGGAAGCAGGCTCAGAGTGTTTGGGACWGTCCCTGGCCAGTGTCACCTTCGGGGCCACCTCCCGAGCCAAAGGGGCACATCCARGGCTCCTCACCCCATCAGCTGCATGTTCCTGTTCCCAGATATCTCAGGAATTCCCATTCCTGCACCCCAAAAGGACCCTGCAGCCCTTCCATCACGAGCAGAGCGACGCTGCCAGAAACCTCCCAGCYGAGCCTTTTGGGCAGGATTTGAGGGGGAGTGATTTTTTTWTTTTTTTTCAATGGAAATGTCACGATTTTTCTTTCTCATCCATTGGTTTTGGGTTTTTATTTCCTGCTTTGACAGAAGCTGGACTCCTGGCCAAGCAGTACCTGGAGAGAGGGCTCCTGGTGCCCGACCACGTCATCACACGGGTGATGATGGCAGAGCTGGAGAGGCGGCGGGAGCAGCACTGGCTGCTGGATGGTGAGTGCATCCCATCCCGAGAGGAAATCCCAAATCCATGGGGAGTGCATCCCGAGAGGAAATCCCAAATCCATGGGGAGTGCATCCTGAGGGGAAATCCCAAATCCATGGGGAGTGCATCCCATCCCGAGGGGAAATCCCAAATCCATGGGGAGTGCATCCCGAGAGGAAATCCCAAATCCATGGGGAGTGCATCCCAAGAGGAAATCCCAAATCCATGGGGAGTGCATCCCGAGGGGAAATCCCAAATCCATGGGGAGTGCATCCTATCCCGAGAGGAAATCCCAAATCCATGGGGAGTGCATCCCATCCCGAGAGGAAATCCCAAATCCATGGGGAGTGCATCCCGAGGGGAAATCCCAAATCCATGGGGAGTGCATCCCATCCCGAGAGGAAATCCCAAATCCATGGGGAGTGCATCCTATCCCGAGAGGAAATCCCAAATCCATGGGGAGTGCATCCTGAGGGGAAATCCCAAATCCATGGGGAGTGCATCCTATCCCGAGAGGAAATCCCAAATCCATGGGGAGTGCATCCCATCCCGAGAGGAAATCCCAAATCCATGGGGAGTGCATCCCGAGGGGAAATCCCAAATCCATGGGGAGTGCATCCCATCCCGAGAGGAAATCCCAAATCCATGGGGAGTGCATCCTATCCCGAGAGGAAATCCCAAATCCATGGGGAGTGCATCCTGAGGGGAAATCCCAAATCCATGGGGAGTGCATCCTATCCCGAGGGCAAATCCCAAATCCATGGGGAGTGCATCCCGAGGGGAAATCCCAAATCCATGGGGAGTGCATCCCAAGAGGAAATCCCAAATCCCTGCGGAGTCCATCCCGAGAGGAAATCCCAAATCCATGGGGAGTGCGTCCCAAGGTGAAATCCCAAATCCATAGGGAGTCCATCCCGAGGGGGAATTCCAAATCCCTGGGGAGTCCATCCCGAGGGGAAATCCCAAATCCCTGGGGAGTCCATCCTCAGAGGAAATCCTGACCCCTGGAGAGTCTATCTCAAATCCCAGACCCCTTTGGGGCATTCCTGGTAAGTCCATCCCAAATCCCAGCCTCCTTTGGAGTATTAAATCCCAGCCCACTTTGGGGCATTCCTGACGAGTCTATCCCAAATCCCAGCCCACTTTGGGGCATTCCTGGTGAGTCCATCCCAAATATCAGCCCCCTTTGGAGTATTAAATTCCAGCCCTCTTTGGGGCATTCCTGGTGAGTCCATCCCAAATCCCAGCCCACTTTTGGGCTCAGCTCCATCCTCACTGCTTTCCCACTTCTCACTGCCGTTCCTGCCAGGATTCCCCCGGACGCTGGGACAAGCCAAGGCTCTGGATGGGATCTGCGAGCTGGACCTGGTGATCAGCCTCAACATCCCCTTCGAGACGCTGAAGGATCGTCTGAGCGCCCGCTGGGTGCACCCCGCCAGCGGCAGGGTCTACAACATGGACTTCAACCCTCCCCAAACACAGGTGAGGGTYCTGGAGACATCCACAGCACGAAAAATTTGGAGAAACCGCTCCCTGCATGAGCTGGGATGGTGGGATTTCCTCTGGGATCCTGGAAAAGCATCGGGGAAGTGATCCTGGGTAGGAGCGCTGAGCACCATAAGGAATCATGCTAAACGTTCATGAGATAAATGGGATTTTGGGGACAGAAGGAGGGGTTTGGCACTGCAGGGTGGGTGACAGGGTCAGTGATGTCCCCATGGTGGCTCTGTGTCCCACAGGGCGTGGATGATGTGACGGGAGAGCCGCTGGTGCAGCGCGAGGACGACAGGCCCGAGGCAGTGGCGGCGCGGCTCAGGAAGTACAAGGACGCTGCCAAACCCGTGATGGAGCTGTACCGGTGAGGGGGGCACGGGGTGAGCCTGGGTACGGGTACGGTGGGGTGAGTGTGGGCACCGGGCAGGATGGGCACCAGGCATGGCAGGATGAGCCTGGGCACCGGGGACAATGGGGTGAGCCTGGGCACTGGGAAGGACAGGGTGAGCACGGGCACCGGGGACAATGGGGTGAGCGAGGGCACTGGGAAGGACAGGGTGAGCACGGGCACCGGGGACAATGGGGTGAGCGTGGGCACCGGGGACAATGGGGTGAGCGTGGGCACCGGGGACAATGGGGTGAGCGTGGGCACCGGGGACA